GTTATATTAAACTGTAACTGAATTTTAAATAGCTTCCCATTCTCTTGGCATTCATTTCTTAAAAACATGTGAAATATTCCTAATTATTTTCTGTAGATTTACAGAAAACAAAAGGTTAACACAAAGGTTTTTTATTGTTTGTTGCCCATATATGATACAATATACTACTCTTTTTGTATGATGGTATACAAAAAAAAAAGAATCTCTAGCTGAAGAATCTTTTCTTCCTAGCAACCCATTCTGAAAAAAAAAAATTCAGAGGTGTTTTTCAGGGTTGTTTGTTCAGGCAATTATGGTCTGAAATTTTGCCTTCAAAAACACTGGAGGATGAGGTAAACTAGTCTTTTAATTAGAGCTACTTAACGTGATTCCCCCCCTGCCCCCGTCCCCCTAAATCTTGAACATTAAACATGTTAGACAAAAGCTTAACTTTTTAAATAAAATATGTTTTCTTTTCAGGGATTTGATATCACAAGTAGTAGGCTAAATTGATATTTTGACAGGTTGAGACAGGAACAGATATTAAATCAGAATTCCTTTGAAATACACCATTAAAGCATTTTAAACATCAGAGACAAAAAATGGTAGTCATTATACATCCAAGAGTATGCCTTATCAAACCATGAACATAATCTGTTCTGTTCATAACTGAGGAGGAGTGTAATAATTATTCAGTGTCTGGATTCTTATCTACGACCTGCCTGGCTGAAGAACAAATCCCAAGTTGTATTTCAGGCGATGCATTGCATGAATGCAGGGGGCCTATTCATTCACCTGCGTTTCTAAAAAGAAGTTACTGGAGTGCCTTTCTGGCATGGAAACCTTTTTACAAAGCTAGTTCCGCCTTTTAAAGTACATCGATTTTACTGCAGTTCTGTGTCATCTCCTTTGTTACTCTTACTGTGGTTCCCTTATTCTCTTTCTACTCCTCCTGTCCCTTGTCCTGGATAGTCTTGAAAGTCGCTTGGTGAAGTGACTTGCTGGATGACATTGGAAAATGACTTTTTGGTGATTGCTTGGTCACCCTGAAGCTTAAAATCTTACACAACATCATTCTCTTTGCTCAGATATGAATTGTTATAATGATACATCATGCTGTATCTGGTTTTGCGTTACATAGACAATAGGGGCACAGATCTACATCTACGACATAGGTTTTAATTTGGGGACAACTTTGAAACTTTTTTTTTCCTCTTTAATATTCAGACATAGATAAAAACAACATTTTAAGCGCAACTGAAATTTAAAGGTCTCAGCTGCACACAATATTTTGGCAATACATTCAAAGATTTGAGTATCCAGTCTAGCTGCTTAACTAGACACTTAAATATGATGATCTCACCCTGTTGTTGGCATGCAGGGATATGCAAATACAGACAATTAATTGGGCTTTGAAGATACCTTGGCTAATGTGAGGAACAAAGAAAAGACTTTGGCTCCCATACCTCTGAGCAAATGGCAAAAGTCAACACAGGCACCCAGAAAACAGCACAAAACCTACACAAAACAGTTCAAGTCTCACTGGGCCCACAGAAATTAAAGGATTACTGATGTGAGCTGTTACTCTTCCAAGGAGATTCAGCTCTTCTGCTGTTTCCACTGAATATTTTTCCTGAAATTTTGAGGAAAACTACATAAGGCTTTCACATTTGTTTGTGCTGTCTTTATGTACTGCTAAGGCTGCATGCTGTTGCGTGGAGGCCATGGAGGATGGGGAGAGGAGGGGTATAGCTTCTGATGGTCACTTCTCGGTGCTCTTCACTGAGATCTGCAAAATGGCTTTATTGAGAAAGCTAAAAATGCTGTTACTAGTACACAACAACATCTGTTACTGATAAGTGAATTATCTGGATTTAATACTCTTCTATCCCACTAAAAATCTAACTTTCTGCTGTATTTCACTGAAGTTAAAAGAAGCAAGAAAAAAAAGCTTTTTTTTTTTTTTTCCAGAAAACTGTAGCTCCCTTGCTGCAGATAGATGGCAATGGCATTGTTGAAATTGCAGCGAATAGTGTAAACATGTGCCCCTGTAATGCAGTATTGCCATTGCTATTAAGAAGCCACAAATTTTATAGGGAGCTTGCCCCAGGATGGAGGCTCGTCAGCTTGCAGCTTTGTTTCCCGTGGTTTAGCTGTGACAGCAGTCTCTCGAATTGATCAGGTTTCTAAGGCTGACTGATTTTAATTTTGTGGTGCAGCTGTAGTTTTATACAGGTAGCAGAAACAAGAAGTTATTCTATGTAGAAATAGGTATCTACGACTGTAACATAACAATGCAGTGGAGAGAAGAACTTTTTGCCTTGTATGCTAGCAGAGGCCTTGAGCAGCAGAAGGATGGGATGCAGCACAGAGGAGAGCAGGTGTGGGATGAGAGGGGACGGGGCACAGGCTGGCACTGGAGACCCCACAGCTATGAACAACTCACCTGTGGTCACTTAAAGAAATGGAGGTGTGGAGCTGGACAAAAATGGTTTTAGGGGTAGCAAAGAGAACAAAGGAATAGTATCTAACACAGGTAAAAGGTACCACCTATAATAAATTTGGATGTAATGTGGAGCTGCAAACCTATGAAGAAAAAGAAAGGTGTAAAAATGTGTTAGCAGACATGTAGAAGTGACCCCAGATGACTCCTAGAGCGAGGAAGAAGAAAGCACCAACATGAACATCCTATTCCTCCTGGGGAAGGACTCCAGATGCCGATAGTCCACTGCGGTCCCCACTTCCTCCCCCAAATGATGCCACTGCCCTAAAGGCCCAGAGGAGCAGCAGAAGGGTGAGCATTAACACCAGGAAAAGGGGTAGAAACTAAGAACTGAGTATATATCAATTTTAACTACATTAATATTCTTTCATTTCTGTAACAATTAGGTCTGAAATAATAAAGATTAGGCTTTTAAGATTACATTTATCCTAACAATATGTTTTAGCTTTACCTGTATAAAAGGTGTGCTTTCTCTTTACCCATAAACAATTTTGAGTGTAACAATAGGAAATATACTTTTTTTGTTGTTATTTTAAGTTTAGTAAAGGTGTAGTAAATCACATGCAGAGAATTATTTTCACTAGCCAGGGTGACTAAAAAATACAATATCTGAAACTCTAATTGTTAGCCTGGTTTAAAAGCTTAGATACAGAAATAATCAGTAGGCAGGTCAACTCTTTTAACCTTTTGTTCTTTCTTATTGAGTGTGCCTGCTTGTTAAGGATTTCAGTGATGGTAATCCACACTGAATGCTGCTCTTTACCTTGTAGGTCTTTATTCAAAATAGAACTAATTGGGAGACGTTTTGTTCCTACCTATTAAGTATGGGGTTTTTAAAATACAAGTGAAAAGAGCGAGCTATGAACAGTCCCAGGGAAACATGTAAATCTCAAGAGCTGTGGGAGAAGATGAAGAGGCAGGATTGAAGAGCTGTAGGAGAATATGAAGAGGGAGGATTGAATGGTAAAAGCAAGAGGAAGAAAAGAGAGGAAAACAATTCACATTAAAAGAAAATCTGAGGTTCAAGGCAAAAAACTGTTATACATTTTTGTGTTACCTTCATTGCACTAAAAGATAACGAAGATAAATTAATGAACCCCCTGGAAATTAATTAATTGAAATTAAGGTTAGCAAAAAAAGCCCTCATTTAAGTAGAGAAACCCCACAGAAGTCAAGGGGGTTCTGCCATTGATATTAGAGGGTACCTGTAGTGCCTCCTACAGTTTTCATTCCTACTGTGAAAGGTTTTGTGGAATAAAAGAGAATGGGGAAAACTGTGCAGAAAGTTTAAAAAGAAATAACCTACTCAGAGAAACCTGGTTTTCGAAGGTACCCAAACACAGGTAGTAACTTCATGATAGAAGACTAGCTTCTTGTAGATATCATTGCATTTCATTCAGAAATACATATTTTAAAATGTGTCCAGCCATCACGGAAGTACCCCATGAGTTCAGTCAGAGCTTGAGACAACAATCTTGTTAATTTGAACAACAGGCTCTTTTGTCAGACTCAGGAACTAACAGACATAACTCTCTGTACACTGTAGTACTAATTACATCTGCCAAGTACTCACCTCCTTGTGGAAAGAACTGAGAGTAAATCTCTTTAAAGGTTTCTTCATTGACAACACCACTGGGGCATTCCTGAAAAAAGTGAAAGACAAGAAATGAATAGCATCCAAACTGGCTGAGTCAAATCATGTGTTCATGTTACAGAACATGTATGTGACTTTGATAGTTTAACATGCTGCAAGAGTCTGATTTTGCACTTTCAACCAAATATTAATGCATTAAATGTGTGTCACTTTGAAGGATCTTCCTAAAGAGTTCCCATGGGACAAAAATTTCTTCTGTGCCATATATCTCAGCTTCAGTCTTGAGACCTGAGTGACGGACATGAGCAGCAACCGCTCTGCCGCAGTGTGTGGAGCTATCGGTGTCGCTGTGGGCCATGGGTGGTCGCTCCTGCAGCCGCAAGCAGCACTTGCATGGTATAGAAACCGAGCAGGAACGTAAACTGCATTTGCAGTTAGGTATTACTGATACAACATGCAGTCATATTCTACCTGAAGAGTTATATTCAATGAATTTGAAAGAGCCTGTCACAAAAGATCTTATTCAAACCTTTCATATCCTTCTGCCTCATTACATCTTGTTCATAAACTGAAATATGTACGAAAGGATAAGCAGAAAGTGTCAGAGCAGAGCGATTACAGAGAAAATGAAAGGAAGTGAAGAAGAAAAAAGAGGATTAGAGTGGTGGCTTTACAAAAATAACTTACGTAAAGAGGAAGGAAAAGCAGAAGGAATACTGTATTGTTTACTAAGTCATGCATAAAAATCAAAGACCAGACAGCTGACTTCCAGTCCGGAATTTGCCAGACGAAGCAGATGACTTTGGGCAACACACTTAATTCCTTTTTGCCTTAAGTCCTTCTTTAACACAGAGTGAAAAAAGCCTGGCAAGCTCTTTAAGAGGAAAGTATTTCTAGAAACAAAGGTAAGTAAGAAAAGACAAATGAAGTGTTAAGGTTCATATATTTATTTTTGTCCATTGCTATGCTATTTGGACTGATTGTTCAAACTTATGTGCTCTCTAGTTCTAAACTGGGGAGAGGAAATAGCTTTAAATGAAGATAAAGAACAGTATAACATCTTTTACCAGTGTAATAACAGCTTTTCTTGTGAGAGCAAATTATATTTCTATGAGATCAAGTACGGAACACTGAGATATTCATAGTTTCTGCTAAGAAACAAATAGTATAATCTTGCTAATTGGGAGATGAACGCGCCGCCTGAAAAACACATCAGATCTGTAGATCTAGGATTATTTTGATTTATGTCACTTAGCCTCAGCCAAAATTAGCTCTTCACCATAAATAAGCGTGTGCAAACACATAGTAAGAAACAATTCTGTTTGATCAGAACAGACAGACAAAAAGCAGTCATGGAGACAGAAGTATGAATTTGTTCCTGGTCACGGAAGCTGTCACTGATGGAGGCAGAATTAGAGTACAGGTCTCGGTAAGACCAGATATATACTGACTGCAGGGCCACACTGACTTTCAAACCAAAGACTTTGGGGAATGGGGGGAACACTGAAATGCATCTAGCATCTCTATCCTTCATCAGGTAAGGAGCAATCCATTAACTGAGGCGGCATCTCCCTGCCTGTCATGTATTTGGGGGTGAGGGCTTTCTAAAACATCTCTCTCTGCTTTACCAGCTTCCCAAAAAGACTGTAGTCAGATGGTCTAGCGTCTCGGTGGTCCCCAACAGGTTTACTACACTGCTTGTCTTTTTATGCGAAGCCTTTTGGAGTTGTATAAATGCATGCAAAAGAGCAGTATTTTTACTTGTATTTGAAGCACAATAAAGAAAACATCAGTGAAGTGCGGAGATACTCACTGACATAACAATATAGTTATTCAATGTAGAAAATGTAACAGAGGTACTTCGTAAGTTCCTCTTCCAAGCATACATTGGTATATACTTCACATCATTCCCAGACCTGCTCAAGGAAGAATAACGCAACCTTCTCCCTGAGATGGGTGGGAGTGTGAAAAGACAACACAGTATTTTAGAATTTAGAAAAAGAAGCCGTGGTGTCTTTCTGTTCTGCATGTAATTTCTTTTCAGAAAAAAGGCTAGGCATGTTCTGAGTCAACTAAAAAGAAAACCTGTATATTGAATTTGTACAACTCAGATTTTGCATTTTTTTCTTTTTGTTTTTCCGAGAAGCTTAATAAATAATGAATGACAAAATGTGCATTTAGGTTCACCTAACTCTATGGCTTATTAACATGCAAAGCAATTTTTCCACCTTTTCCTTGGATGAGAAAGACGTTCAAAATATGCTCATTTTGCAAAGAGTGCTCTCCCCTTTTTTACAGGAACTGCCAGCAACTCCAACTGTGTCAGTCCTTAGTCTGAAGCTGTGAAGAATAAGACTCCCATTTCCTGACTTCATTTAAATGTTATGACGTTAGAGGAGAATTAAAGGTACTTTGGAAAAAATTGTCTGATTTATTCTTTGTTAGTTCAAAATAAGTTAGAAGCCTGTTTTTAGAGAAATACATGATCTACAGACCTCATTTAAAGGTAGTACTTTTTTCTGTCACTTAATGAACTCCAGTTTCACCACACTGTTTGAAAGAAACATTGCTTGAAAAGGCAACCTACTTTCACAGAATTGCATATTAGTAGAGCCAGGAATGACCTCTTGAGTTTATCTAGGTTGACCCTATGTATTTTCCTCTGCTCTTTACCATAGCATTGCCAGTAACACCTTACATTTTCCATCCTTGGAGATCTGTAGTAATGGTTTCTCAAGGACATTCATTAAAAATTTGTGATGCTGGCCAATTACTCTTATCAGAAATATTTAGTTGACACTTTCCTTTCTTTAGCTTGGATCTTTCCTCTGAGACTATATAAGACTGTGACCACTTCTGTTCTTAAATAATTTTAATCTAAATATGTATGCAGCCAACATCATTTACCTCCAAGACTGCTCTTTTCTTGACTCATAAATCCGGCTTTATTGTGTTTATCAGGAGATTTCTCTAGTTCAGTGAAAGAGATTTAATATTGTAATTGTTAAGTATGCCCCATGGCTTTATGTCAAGTTATTGCTGACTCCTTCCATTGTACCAACTGTAATTATAAAAATCTTTCTAATATTTCATTAAACTCTTATAAAAGAAAGGAAAATAATTAAATAGTTTGAAAGAAAAATATGAGGCTTATTTAAACCATTTCCTATATTCTTTTTTCCTCCAGCTGTATATAATTTATTTTGTTACAGAAAATTTCTGTTTGAGACTCTTTTAAAATTGCGTTAATGATGTATTATATTTTCCTTCTGGAGAATAAAAAGGAGGAAAAGTTCATCTTGAACTGATTTTCCTGAGTCCAGTCCTCTTTCCTCTAAAGGGAAAATAAGATAAACCAACAGAAAGAAGAGACAGACAATAATAAATATCATTCTACCTTTTGATGATGTCTTGCCTGCAATTTTACTGCTAGGAAATTACACCTCCAGCACGTGGTCTTACGAACCACTCCAAAACCTGTAAATTATTTACAAGCTTCATGCTGTCTAAGCTGTCTTTTTTTTCAGTATTTCTAAGAATACTGCAATAGGTGGATTCTTCTTTACTACCTAATCAACACCCTTCATAGACAAGAGGCAAATCCAAAAAGACAGAAAACGGAGAAATAGTGAAATGCAGGAAAGAGAATGAAGGAGAAACAAACTCAAAGCTCAGACTTTTGTCTGTATAATAAACAATGTTGTATGATGGATTAAGCTGTATTAGGAGCTTTGGCAATTTGAAATATATTTTAATTATGGGCTTTTGCATGACAGGTTCTGCATCCCATGCTTTATCTGCTGTCAGTGTTTGTTCTGCTTCATTTTAGATATATGTTCATGTCCATTGACTTAATTGTCTCGGACTAACAATATTTTCTCTTCTTGCATGTCCTTCTATTGTGACTAAAAATTGAAATTTTCCATAGACACAAAACTTAATGGAAGAATATGTACATAATTTTGAAATAGCATGTGTATTCTTTAAAGCTAGTTCTACCAACAGTCCCACAACCTAAACCCACAGTGGCTTTTCATAGCCCAGTACAGTTCCTAATTCTTCATTTGAGTATAATAGGGCTTTGATCAAAACAGCCTGAGAATTTAACAAATGGCCTTGATTTAATAACATAATCTAGGCCAAATTAATAACGAAATCTGGGCCAACAGACACCTCATGAAGCTCAACAAGAATTGCAATATTCTGCATCTGGGAAGAAAGCATCCCTTGCCCCAGTGCCAGCTGTGAAGTGACTGGCTGAATGGCAGTGCTGCTGAAAAGGACTTGGGGTTACAGTGGATGTCAAGTTGAGTATGAGCCAACAAAGAATTCTTACTGCAAATAAGATAAACCACCTACTGAGCCAAGGCCAGCAGTCTGAGGGAGTTACTCTCTCTCTCTACTCGGGACAGTACAGAGCACAGTCTTGGGGCCCTTCTAGGGATGTGGAGAAACTGGAGAGGGTTCAGCAGAAGGCCATGAACACTGCTAGGGATGAGAGGACATGGCCAACGAGGAGAGACTGAGAGTGCTTGGCTTGCTTAGTCTCGGCCAATGTTAAGGGATGAGCTAATAGCAGCCCACCTGAAGGGCAGTAACAGAGATAAAGGAACCAAACTCTTAGCAGGGGCAGACAATTTAACAAAGTTCAGTGGCCACAGTCTGAGGTTTGTGAGCTCACACTGGACACTAGAAAAAACTTTTTCACTCTTCTTGGTACCCTGAAATGTGGTGATGCTTGAGACAGCCCTTAATTTCGGTGAAAATTTGTGCTGTTGAATAGCCTTGGAAAGATGTCTGTGTATGTGGCAGAGCTTTCCTAAGGGATGGGATGAGATGAGAGGCTTTGTTTGATAAGTGGACCTTGGTAATTTGCTATTATGAACAGGGACACACAGATCAGGACAGAAGAGTGTGGGTTAGAGACTTGAGACAATAGGTTCTGAAGCTTGCGTTTTTTCAGTCTTTAATGCTTTTAAGGTTTATGAAAATTAACTTTTAATTTTATGCACTCCCTACTTCCAAAGCTGCATATGTAAGGTTGGTTTA